TCAGCCATTTAGCTCATCAGCGAAGCAAATTACTGATATTTCCGTAATCAGTCATCTCCTGCACGTTACTATCCGATTTCTCAATTTATTATTGATCATTTCCAAGTGTATTGATTACGCTCTATTGTTTGATTTGACATTTGCAACGTTGTCAACATATTCTCTATACGTCTTTTTGCGTAATGGAGTTTTATATGTTCTCGGAGAACTTTCAGCTTCGAAGTATTAATAAATGGCATTACATGGCATTACATGGCATTACATGGGCATTACATGACATTACATTAGGGCCGCGAAGAGTTAATGAATAAAGAAATATGTTTCATACGCAGTTGCAGTCGTCGTCATTGCTGAGCTTGCGTGGAAAAAATATCAATCTCAGGAAGCGGATCTAGGCCAGGGAATATCGACCGCGCGATCTGGGTCAGAGCTCGCATACACCTTGCACCTCGCTCTCTGCACTCTCGCTGCAGGGTGCATAATCCGCCCAGGGTGGTTGTATTCTTTACACTCGCGCTCGCGAGCACATAACAAAACATGACAAAACCTGTCGAAAGTCACACGAAGTCGAAGTTAGATATTCGTCAAAAATATGCAATAATACCAGACATTCCTAAAACAAGTCGTCGAATTTTCTAAGCGTCATTCTACGCATCTTTATATGATAAAAAAATTATAGATTTGAAAATTTGGTTTCCGAATTATAACTGCTTTCGTTCGGAGCCAAGTTTTGCAATAATTAAAATTTATTCATCAGAATTGATCTTACAATAAATACTGTGCTTCAAACACATCTGAAACCTCTGTTCGATCCTGTGTAATCAAAGTGTGGAGATACACTTTTATTTTTCAAAAATAAATATTGCATAAAATACGTCTCTTCCAATAGAAGGAATATTCTAACGAAAAAACGTACGGAATCCGTCGAAATACTATTATAGATCATTTAAATAATAGAGCGTTCGAATAGCAGAACAATGGAGAGATTCGAATAACAAGGCCCTACCGTGTCACTTGGCCTGTACCGTAAATCTCGCCAACTTTCGACACTACATGGTCAATTCTGTTGTTCACGACCTGATGTTTTCACGGCTTGAAAATTCTGTGTCGCCACGTTAACTCTAATTTTGCGTCACGATGAATAGAAATGGAGCAGTATCGATAGGTACCGTAAAATTCGTTTAGCTCTCAGCATTATGCGATGCACATTTTGCGCCACGGTCAATAAAACTTTCTCTCTGCGTAATCGTAAAAACGCGGAAAAAAGAAGAGAAAACTGTTTTTTTATAGAAAACTATTTTTTTATATAAACTGTAGCATAAAAAATCAAAGTTAAAGTAATAAAACCAGTAAAAACATGGCACACCCAAAACGTATATGAAATTTATGGTAGCTGTCAAGAGTTAGCAACGATACCAAACACAATTTTTGTCCACTGCAGCGCGGAGTTATGGATTAACGCGTGAAAATAAAATTTTCGGTACAGCCCGATCAACAGGAGACTACGGCAAAAGGGTTTGGTTCCCCGTGCCCCGGTAATGAATTTGCTATTGTGTGTCGCACTAAAGCACTTTTCTTCGGGTCTTTGTGTGCCCGCCCTTTTATCCCAAAAGAGACGCGTGTGTTCGTGCACGCATACGAGAGACGTAAATAAAATTGCGCATGTTGCGCTTTGTATTCGTCCGCCTTCCATCAGCCGGACGGAAGGGTTGAGAGAGAATTGAATGCACATTCGTAGGCGGCCGGCGATGGCCGGACTTGGTAACGGGATCGTTTGAATTGGTAATTAGTCGCTATCACCCCCTTCTATCCATTATTCTATCCTATTTTCAGCGTCTATCGGCGTAATCGGTGGGCACAAAAATTTGTATTTTGAACTTATTGTCCTTTCTCAATTAAAATACATTTTTCTTTTAATATTGCATAATATCGTAGAACCGAAAATAATGATAAGATTTAAAAGGAAGAAAAACCTTTTTCTGAAAAAGGATTTAGCGATTAATATGTCTACCAAAAATTTTGAAATTTGAACTGAAAATTGATGTATTATAATCAGTATGTATTAATTTGTCAGGCTGAAAAAGAGTCTAAATTAAATCGAATAAATCGTAGAAGAAATTTCGCTTACGCTGCACACATGACGCAACCCTTTCAAGCGAGTGTGTTTGTTCTCTCTTACCCCCGGGGATGAAGCCGAGACGCAGCATCTCCCTAAACGTGACTCACGACGCTTCGTGCGTACGCTATTTCGCGTACATGTTTTGTACGTTTTACGTATTCGCGATTCTATTTCTAAATACAGTCATACGGTAAAAATAGCAAAAGTGGAATAAAAATATTCGCGATGCCACCACACCTCAAAGTATAACTTATTTGCATTTCGAAATAACTCTTTTAACTGATAAATACACTTTCAAATAAACAAGCTTAAAGTCTAAAAAAAAGCTTTTAATTAATAAATTCTTCATTCCCAAATTTTAGGTGAATAATTTGAACCAACAATGAGTTTGAAAGTAAATTCTCGAAGACGAGTATTTGCGCGGAGACTGCGTATACTCAGAAAGGGTGAGAAAAGAAAAGGGGGATCATTTTAGCCCTAGGTGTACTGTTCGGCTTTTCGCGAGAGCGGGAGCGGAACTGTCGGTGCGTCCGCCATGGCGAAGCGCCGTTGGGTCACGCGCGACGCATCTCTATGCGTCGCGGTAGCAAGCGGCGACGAACGATCGATTTTACGGCGGCTTCTCTGTTACTTCTCTCTACGCGTGCACGTGTTCGGCTGTGCTCTACCGCGTTCATCGTACATCCATCGCGCACGCCGGTCGACCGTAACGCAATTCTTATCCCTGCAATGATCCGCGCACCGATTTCGCTCGAGATACAAGGGCAAGAATTTCAGTGAAATTGGCTTCATTCATATTTCTATGTTGGAATTTGTTTTGTTGAATACAAATAATCTAATATAATATTTACAATTTTACTGTAATAATGTCGTGAAATTTTCAACTTCCGAGCTTTAACCTGTTATTGTAATAACTCTGATTCCTCGATTATGGAATTATGTTTCAATGGAATGTTAATTCTTCATATTATTCGCAAACATCAACATAGTTATCTTATCGGGGGACGCGCGTATTTATGCGGACTCTTGACCCAACTTGCAATTATAGCGAAAAATGTGATGAGTACGCGAATGCACGCGGAGTGACGCTCGGTATCATTCGTGCGATCTTCCGGGTAAATCGCGAGCTATTTTTAGCGCGTTAGCAATTAGCAGTAATTAAATGAAGACGACCCAATTTACAAATTCGGTGCCGCATATTGCTGTTTGCGCGAAACACTAGGTACAGTATATATAGTATTTATAGGAAGAGAAAAAAAGACGCGTGTTAAAAAAATAAATTAAAAATAAAAATACTAAGTACATTATCACAATGTATGACGTATAAGAAACTACATTAAAATATAACGATACTAAAAGTTTCCTACATAATTTTAATAAGAATCTTGTATGTATTACGTATGAAATAAGTTTCATAAGATTTATATTAAATTATATTTGCATTTGTGTGCAAAAAATATATGTGTCTTATAAATAAATTTAAAAATATGCAATAGAGAAGTAAGCAGAAAAATAAAGATGTTAAAAAGTTGCTATATTTTGATAAAAATGTATAAATTATGTCGTGATACTTAATTTATAGCAACTATCAATATCATATTTATATTATTCTCATTTGTTCTTTTTTTTTTCTTAATTAAAGATCGTCTTCATTTTAGGTAACTTCCAATCGAAAACTTTGCTCTGCCAGGTAGCCAAATCTTCGATCATTCGATTATAACCAATCATGTAATATGTATACATTGAGAGCACGAGGTGTCCTGTTTCCATAATATATTCTCTTGAATATTCCATTCGCAAATATTGAAATACACGCGATAGGAACAAAAATTCGAAGTAGCAAAATTTATAAATGAATTCGACACAGAAATTCGTTTACATGGATGTTCCGTTACTACGGCGAGAGTTATGTTCTTACGCTTCTGAAATTCTATTTCAGCTCCACGAGAAACGTGCATATTTGGCCTATTATCGCCCTCCTGCGTCCCGTTCCTTACCCTCCCTCCAACTATATCGCGGTGCCGCCATGGCCACGCTGCCGTTCAGCACGTAGGCATTTCGCCTCTCGATCACGTAACGCGAGAGACATCTGTCGATCGTTCGAGACGCAACTCGAATTAGCAATCAAGTGCAAATGCGACATTATATTAATAAAGTAATGTCGAAACGTAATGTAATAATACATCAAAAAAATTATTTCAAAAGAGTGTTCCTACTTCCCCAAACTATACTATCGTACAC